GGGGACAGCAGGGCCACCAGGACTAAGGCTGGGCGGGGGCTAAGATGGTGGCAGCACAGTGCAGGCTGTAGTCAAGGGTATCAGGGTGTTCTGTGAGTGGAGAAACCCTGAGGTGATGTAAACTCATCACTGCAGTCAAGTAAGACTGTGAGATTATTAACTGTTTGGGTTTCGCTTAACGTTTAATGGTTAAGGTTTTCTCTAAGGACGTGTGTTCATCCTTTTTTCCCCAGTAATAAACCCTGTTTTAGTTGAATGTTGCTTGCAAGTGGAGAAGTTCGTTCACTTTCAAACATGCTGTTAATGCACTTTTCCAGGTTTCTGTGTGGGGTCTTGAGCCAGATTTAGAAAGTTAGTGTTTAACCCCTAAATATGAACCTGGAGTTTGTTATTGCCAGGCGCTGGCAGAGGGGTTACATTTAAGTTATGTAAAATCAATGTCAATAAAAACATGTTATTACAAAAGTTTGGTTGTCAGTAAAGAGTTTGAAGATTGTCAGTAAAAACAAAATTCTTAGGTTGGCAACTCTGAAAGGAATGCATGGTATCTTACAAATACAAATTCACAGCTGGCAAGGCAGCAGTGTATTATGCTGCCACCTAGAGGACCCAATATGGAAAACATTGTAAAACATGCTCTAAGTTTCTCATGCAAAGGAAATCTGTATTTGTTTGAATATTTTTAATAATGTCAAAAAGGAACCAACTGCACTGCTTTGTGATAGTGCTTTTCAATTAAGTTATTGATGAGCATTAGATGTGACTGCTTACTTACTGGTCTTCTCTAAATCTGATGATAAATGATTGCATGCATGAGAGAGGATTTTAGACAGATTCCAGAATATATATGCAAATGTTTTATTGCTTCAGCTACCAAAACCTAGGGCACACGTGGTAGGTTTCCTTTAGAACTCTTGAACTTGCTTTCCCTCCCTTGGTAGTTTTCTATATATGCTGAAAAATCATCCATTTGTGAGGATTTTTTTTGTAGAGAAATGATTAGTTTCTCATAATAATAAATATGGCTGGTTGTATTTCTGGTACTGCTGTTACTACTACATTAATGATGTAGTTTGTTGTTTGAATCTGATTAGGTATTGTTTTTATATTTTAAATATAAAAAAGGGGGAAAATATGTAAACATATTACTTACATGAAAAATATCATATTTGCTTCCGATTATCACCAGAGGAATTGGAAAAGGGTCAATTAATTCATAATCCTGTGAAATAACAGTATATTTTAAAACATTATAAAAGAACAGTAACAGAGCTAAGAGATCAGAAAACAGGCTGAGAATCATTATTAACAGATGTATGTTATCTCTTTCAAATCTTTAGACATACAGCTATTATAATGCAGTGTAATTACATAGGGCTGGTATATTCCAACACAATCCCTTGTAAAACAGCCCCCTTGAGAAGTGAAAGCCTTGCTGCCATAAACCTGCTGAGTAGGAACAACAAGTACCAGGAGCCACTTCCACACAGGGGACATACCAAAGGAAGGAAATGTTGGAATGTGATGTCCCCTCCTACCGGTGTATAGATACAAGGAAGAATTGGGCCCAATGAAGCTAAAAAAGGCCTCGTCTAAGATTCTGATGAAGGTAAAATGCATTATGTACTATAATTTTATATTGTTTTTGACACATTTCATAGTTTCATAGTTTCTAGGGTCGGAAGGGACCTGAGAAGATCATCTAGTCCGCCCCCCTGCCATGGCAGGAAAGAGTACTGGGGTCAAACGACCCCAGCAAGGTGT